TTGAATTGCGAGCCAAATTTTGTTACGTGGACATTTTACATGAGAGAGTGTTGGAGAGTGCTGGAGAAAGGCGAGTGCAGCTAGCATTCCTCATAGGTTTTCCAAGTACTTTTGTTTAAAAGAAAAAATTTAATTATTATTTATATATTATATAAAAGTACATTTCATATATAGGTTTTCCAAGTATTTTTGTTTAAAAGAAAAAATTTAATTATTATTTATATATTATATAAAAGTATATCCTATATTTACATTTTCAAAATGTACATGCATAAAGGTCAAGAGATGAATAAAAACAGAAAAATAGTTATAGGCACTTTTTTTTTTTTTTTTATCTTAGTTGCATAATAGGAGGCAACTACCTCATATTCTTTATCTTACTCTACTTGCATATCATACGACTTAAATTTAAAATCTTTTATTTCTAATAGAAGAAATTGACTACTGAGATATAAGCACTAATACTATATAAATAATGTATATATACACTACCTAGTAGTAAAACGGAATGTCGTTTTCAGTGGCACCCTATGTTTTTTTTTTGGTAGAAAGTGGCACCCTATGTTCGGTGCACCAAAAAATTGACAAAACTTCGTAACGAATGCTTCATCATCTGCCAACTTGAGAAATTAAAATACTTAAAAGAAGCTATCAATTTGCACATGTGATATACTTAATAAGGGATGGCTATTAATTGAAACATTACAAAAAGTAAAATAAAATAAAGCTGATCATAAATGGTAAACAAAACCAACCACATGTTAATTTTTGAATATTTGAATAGAAAGAGTTTAGTTTTATTTAAATAAAATTTTAAATTCAAATTTTATAAATAAAAAAATAAAAACTAAAACAATTTTCTCTTTATGGAATTCGAATCAAATATAAATATAATTTTATATTTATTAATAAAAAATAAACTTTTTTATATTAAAATAATTTTCTTCATTAATAATTATAAAATATAAAACTTCGCAAAACGGGCTGTAAACTGCTATCTCAATTCGTAAATGAAACTGATAATTAACACACAAATCAGTCAAAGACAACGCCAACAGTTTTGATGAAAAAGCATTGTCCAAGTAGCAAGTTGCAATGCCAAGTTTTTGAACTGAAGTTGCAAGAGAAAATAGACAAATAAAAATCTCAACTTTTAGATTTTTTTTTATTTAAAAATGTTAATTTTGTTAGTTTTTAAATATAAATATTAATTTTTAATTTTTTTATTTAAAAATTAATTAGATGATAATGTTGATATGATAAATTTAGAATTGGTTTCTTTAAATGAAAAACAAAGATAAAGTTGACATATTTAA